CACAGGCAGGCATGGAAAGAGACTCGTGCGCACGCACAAGCTCGTCCCTCTCCTCTGCCACCTGCTTACGGCAAATGAAAACCTCAATGTGTCAGTGCTGTCCAGGGGTAGCGAAGACAAAACACACCATGTATAACCAAGCAGACAAAAGATGTATTCTGTCTCCACCAACACAAACTCCCATCCCTAGCTGTCAGTCAGCAGAGGGGACACACACAAGGGGATAGATGAGAGAAGAAAGAAGCCCTTCCTCAATGACACATCACACTCTCCTGATTTTCAAAAGTGACAAGTCTTTTGAATTTGGCCTCACAAGACAGAGAGCCTGATGATAGTTTCAGAGCATTTTTTTCTAGTTTCTTTGGCAGTAGGAGCCTTTAAATGTCATTCTGTTTAACCTTGAGGCTCTTTTCTTCTGTGTTGTTTAATGCTTCCAAGACCAGGGCAACCAGCTCCTCAAAATGGCCTGGCAACATTAGCCTTTAAGTCAGATAAATTAATCCAGAAATACATAAATGTGCATTACTGTGTGTGCATATCCTCACACAGACATGCACTTGTAATCACACACACACACACAGCCCAACCAAACACAAACATAAACTCCCTAACTCCCTGAAGCGTAAAGTAAGACCATTAATCCAGACACACTGAGATCCAGCTTCTCCCCAGGTTGATCAGTGTCCGTGGAGGAAGACGAACATTCTGACATATTTGTTTTTATTTTATTCCCAAAGAAAAAGGCCTGCCATATGGCAGCGCCCAGGAACAGATGGCAATTGCCCACTTCCTGAAAGCACAAGCCTCTATCGCTGCAATTTAAGGAGCCGCTCAGGCAGGAGAACACCACAGACTGGCATTTTTTCACAAACTGCTATTGTTATGGACCTGAGGGGTAAAAGCAACAATGAGACAATGCAGAGAAAGCGCTTTGAGTGTTCAGTAGTTACAGTGCAGCTTTGTATATTAATCTATTAAATCTATGAGTCAATGCTGCTAGTGCTGTCTTACTATCAATGTGTGAAATAAAAATGTGAGACTATATATTAGCTATAAAAGTCTGTAGCACAAGCCATATTATATCTAGCTTTAAATATACTGGTGGTCAAAGTATGAAGCCCATGCTGGTTTTAGAAAACGATGCCTGGAGCAGTGGACCAGAGATGTAGAGATAAGCATGAATGTCCTTTGGGTGATATAAGGTCTTTATGATTGAGTGTAAGAGTCGCCCTGTGACACATGAAGCATCATCTCTCATACTTGGCTACCCCTTATCAACCAGGTCAGAAGACCTTCTCTGACATACAGATGCAAAGAAACTGTCTCAAAAAGTCACCTTGGTAGACGGCAGTTAAAATGTGTATTGCCAGCCCGTGGCAATACTCCATACTTGTTTCAAAGATTGTTTTATTTTCCTTGGATGGAAAAGAAAAATGGCATGAAAGACATGAAAGTTCATAAAGACCTTGTAACACAATTAGAGTTAAAGAAGAAAGAGAAGGGCCAGCATTGCTGCCATTAATTCCAACCTACAAAGGGGCTGTGTTGCTTTCGACTATTTCATAGAAAAGTATGATTTGACAGAGTTACAAGTGTTCTCTAAAGAAGACGGTTTCAAAGGGTGACCAAGGACAAAGCAGATGAGTTAGACATTCAGAGATCACTAGTTGAAGAGGAACTATTCAGTATCAGTTGAATCACTTATTACTTTGACTCCATGCCTCTACAACAAAGGGCAGCTCATAATTTGAAGTCAAAGACTTGAGGCAATGTGGACACTTTTCAATCAGTAGATCATGACAATTAACACAAAGCCTCGGTGTGCAGTTTGTTCAAGGTGAAACGTCAAGTGTGTATTTAACCTGGGCATGTATGTAATGTCTTTGCTTTTGGGCTTTCAAAAAAGGAGCCTTGGTTTAACGCTGCCAGAGACTTATGATAAAGGCAGTGAGTGAATACACATCAAGACAGCTGATATACTGTAAATCTGAAATGCACTGTAGTCCTATTCAGGTCTGCCAAAAACCTTGATTCTTGAAAGCTGTGTGATACGTTATTTATGCAGTACACGCAGAAGTCAAATTGGGCCAGAGCTTGCCAGCTCCTGACATCAACATTGCGCCCTGCTGGATCTAAGCTTTGTCTCCTTAAGCACCGGAAACTCTCATGCTTTTGTCTCGGTCATTGAGGCTTTCAGGCACTGTGTTATGCTGATCAAACAAATGTAAAATGTAGCTCCTTTTGTTTATTAAACTACTCATTGGACAAGAGCTGCCCGTCATCACAAATCCCTGTTAAACTCCTAAATATACCTCTTTCATAAATCAACTCCACATCTGTCAAACTAATAAAAAAATGTGTAAGAAGTAAAACTCAAAACAAAACTCTTAATTAACATGCTCTCTAAGAAATGTGTAAGAAGTTATAGGACCTGCTAATGCAATTTAAACTAGTTTGGGGAACTTTTGCCCATCAGCAAACTGTCACCCATCCTCCCAGTCAGTCAGACCATCATCTATTAATCAGTCCACTTTCAAGATCTATCATTCATCAAAGCAGGCCAACAGGTTAGTCAGCCTCTCTAATCCAGCTACACCTTTTCACTAATCACTAATTCCTACATACAGTACATTTACCTAACCAAGGCAGTCCGCCATTAAGTCAGGCAGGCTAAAAAGTTAGCCCAGCCACAAATCATCTAACTATCCATGTATACAGCCTGCCTGCCAGGAAGTCAGGTCAGTCAGTCCACCCTGGGGGTCCTAGGCTAGTATTAATCAGGCTGGCTTCTGCTGAAAAGCTCAATCTGCAGATGATGGATGAGCCATCGTGCTGAGGGAACTGAAGTGACAGGTGACAAAGAAGGACACACACACACACATGCCTGCATAAATCCACTCTCCCTCCTGTCTGGTCCCAATGTTACACCGTCAAGGTAGCAGGGTGAAAGTGTGTGTGTGTGTGTGTGTGTGTGTGTGTGTGTTAATGTGTATGCAGGTGCAAGTGTCTCAGCATGTGCCCTGCTCTGCTAATGAAGTCATCTGTAGAGTGATTTAACAGTCCTGTTGTAAAAGCCTACCGCCCTTAACTCATAGCCTTGCTCCATTAGAATGTGATATAAACCCTGGGCACAGTCCTGCCACTGTAACAATATATAGGAGGCCAATTGGCCACACTGCTAACTCACACTGTTTGGGCAAAGAAAAAAAAAACACTGGGTGTGTGTATAGGGAAGGGAAGTCATTCATGGAGAGTAAAAACTTAGGGTATATAATAGAAAATACAGATCATCACAATGTCATAATAATAAGTGTTTTACTATTCATTTTGTCAAGTGTGTAAGATTATCTCATGTGGTTTGTCCAGCAACAGCACACAATAAAGAAGTAATTGTTGTGAAGCTTCTGTGAAAACAGCTGAGGGCACTTCAGTCTGTGGTTACACAGAAAGCATTATCCTAAGCACTAACAAATGGATCAGTGGATCTGACATCAATGTGCTTATCCCATGAATGGCCTTCTATAGCTTGAGAGATAGTTTTGAGTCAGAACTGGATCTGAAGAAAACTTTGACAGCTTACACGTTGCCAGCCATGAAACTAACTTCCCGCTCTGTGTGAGCATCTCAGGCAGAACTAAAGCCATTCTCTTAATCCTCCATGAAATCTGCTCCTCTGGCCCAACAAAGAGAGGCTAATGAGGCAAATGACAGAATCTCAGACAGTTTGATGCTGTGAGATTAGGCTGAATTATATAGCCTTTAACCCTCCCACTCCTGTCCTTCCTCATATGTTTTGCTGTCGTGTCAGCATTGACTGCTTTCTCTCTCTCTCTCATGTCACTCACAATTTCAAATTGCAAGTCCAGTCTCTCTCGCTCTCTCTCTCTTTTTCTCTGCCTCCATATCCACTTCATTCAGTTTCTATTCATGAATTCCCCAACACTAATTTGGCTCAGTCAAGCAATGACAGTATCTTTTTTAACATGCAACAAAGCAGCATATAAGAGAAGTAGGAATGGAGTGTGTGCGTATGTGTGTGTGTGTGTGTGTGTGGGAAGAGGGGGTAGAAGTGTGAAAGAGACAAAACTCGTCACAGCACAGAGCTCTGTACTTCACCCTTATTAGACCTGTGTCCTTGGCAGATGCAGAGCTTGCCCTTTGTTAAAAAGGTGTGTGTGTGTGTGTGTTACAATGGCAGTGATTTAGAATGGATTGGGCGTAGGCGTGGAGACAAGGTGCAGTAGCCCCATGGCTCCCTGATAGCTGGCAGCGTGACAGCTGTGAATGGAGAACAGGGAACAGGCTGAAGTATTGCCATCTAATATGTGTCACATACCTGCATAAATATTTATGCCCGTTGCAGAGCAGAACGGGGGGGGAATGGGACAGGAGTGGTGGACTTGAGGGAAAAACTCTTCAATCAGGTGACACCAAGATCTGAGCCATCCACTCTTTTTCCATCTCTAACTACTTCTGTGTCTGCCTCAAGGCCTCCGAAGTATGCAAAGAGGTGGGGCACCCCAATTACCAAGATCTACAAACATTTTGTCCACGCAGACAGTGCGTGCATTCACAATGACAGCATTCCATGAATCAACACACACAGCATATTATAGTATCCCAATATCCATTTTCCAGAGTCTTTCCACAGCTCAGCCTCTCCATTATGGAAGCCACAGGAGCCCTTGGCCTCTGAACAAAGTAGAAGTTTGAACTTCTGATGAAGAGCTGATCCCCAGTGACTAAAGCTTATGCCAAAACTAAATCAAAAGAGAATTTGGAGATGAAACAAAAAAAAAGAACTTGCCTTAGGATTCCCAAGTGAACGCCTCATTTTGTACAGGTAAAGACAGCAACACATGTCTCTGTGGAGTGAGGCTTTTGTTTTATGAAAAAAAAAATGCTTACAAACAAAAACACCTTGAGGATTATTTGTGCACATATGTACACAGTGGTGTCAGTAAACATGCATATATGTAACAATTGAAATTACTGTTCACCTGTTGGCCAGTAGAGTTTTGAAGGTGACCTGACTCATGCCCTGATAGGCTGGCAGCAGCCTTGGCCAGTCCCATGCCCAGTCGACCACGGCACTCTGTTGATGTATGGGGATAGCGTATAGTTAGTTATTAATCAGGGTTAATACCATCAGTGCATTACTGCTCCAGCTGGGACCCACAAACAAAGGTGGTGGGGGGGGGGTCCCCAGTGTAGGCCACTGACACCAGGCGATCAATCATGTCCGCACAAGAAGGTTTTTATTCCAATAAGACAGCAATTAATTTATAAATCCATCTCGGGGATGTAGCCATCATTTATAGTAAGATAAATCAATTTTGGGAGGAAGTCGTTACTCTTCTGACTGCTTTCACCCCACCCTCCATTTCTCTCTCTTTCTCTTTTTTATGGTTTCTACCTAACACACACACACAAGTATATTTTCATTACTCGTGGGGCTTTTACATTGACTTACATTTATTTCCTAGAGATTTACCCCAAACCTAACACATAACCACTACTTGCCAAACCCTAACCTTAACCTAACCCTAACCTTAACCCATGTTGTCACCCTAAAATTCAATGATTTACTTGGTGGGGACCAGCCTCTGGTCCCCATGAGGAAGGCAAAGTCCCCACAATGTGGTGTTTTAACAGGTTGCAGTCCTCATAATGTTAGTAATACTAAGGGCACACACACATGCACAAAAATACTCAACCTGACACTAGCGCCATATTGAGAAAGCAAATAAAAATCAGATTGCTTTGATTGCCTAAATGTCACTCTTAACTCCAGGCTCCAATTTTATTTACAAAAAGAGGAGAACTCTACTCGTTCCCTCCCTCCATCCATCCCCCCTCTATTCCCTCCTCATAGATGATTGATGGATGTAACTTTTTTCCGTCCTCCCTCCATTTTATTTGACAAACAACACAGGCACCTGAAGCAGAGGACCATTTTAATCATTCTACTAATAGGGTATTTCTATGCAAAGCTATGCAGCCTCCTGTGATAAGCTGAAAACAGGCCAAGTCTTAGCTTAAAGCATGTCCACTCTTAAAAAACAAAACAAAAAAAACAGCAGCATCACCACAAGAGATCACAAATGTATAAATGCATGTACTCCATTTCTAAAAAGTACAAAGAGACACAAGCCCATGTTGAGGAAATACTAGCCTTTGTTTTGTGTGATATACAGTATATATGTTACTTCCCTTGATAGGAGGAAACTCTTACCATGGACTAAAACTACCTGTAGGTAGATGTATCCCCTTTCGGGAAAGAAAAAAAGGAATAGAAAAAAACTAGCAATTAATTGAATAGCATGGCGGCACTCCTGGGGCTAAGTTTGGGGTAAAAGGGTGTATGGTTCAAAGCCCTTAAGAAGTGCACTTCAAAACTGCACTCTCGTTTAACATTACTCACTTTTTTATGAAAAAGAAAATCTCTGTCATCGTTTCACCTTTTCAGTGTTCTTTTCTTCCTGCGAGTATAACTCCTGCTTGGAAAAAAGCAGCGACCTATGGAGAATAGGGAAGCCGAGCCCCAGAAAGACCTAACAGCTTCAAAGACTGCCACGGCATCCAGTTCACTAGACATTCAAACAGCTCCTAACCTTCAACATTAAGCTTCTGGCCTTGGGAGAAAAGTTAAAACATAACTACCCTGCACCTCACAAGTACCCCTATACAGTACAAAGTACATAAAGAAGATCTAATAATCACTAGAAACCCATAGAGATTTCATAAAGCTAAAATAATGGACAGATGATTTACTACCAATATAAATTGTGGTGACAACCTAAAAAATATTTGACAAACCTGATCCAGCTTCTTTGTGCCAATGTGGTCAAACTGATGAAGAGGGTTGAAACAGGCTGTGCCCGCAGGACAGTCAGTGCCAAGGTCAAAGTTCACCAAGTGAGGAGGATCATTTGGTGAGTTAGTGCTTCCACTCA